GAAGGCTGGCGGTTCAAACCCACCAGCCACTCCTCAGAAGGAAGATGGGGCAATCTACTTCCATAGTGATACTGCCTCGGAAACCCAAGGAGGGTCGCTATGAGTCAGGTCCGACTCGATGGCACATAACAGCAGCAACAACAGCATGGGTAATTTATGATCTGTTTCCCAGTCCATTCTTGGCTATGCTATTACTGATATTGAGCTTCTCCATCATCTCTTTCCATAGATGTAGTTAATTTGATTCCTGTACATTCCATTTGGTGAGGTCCATGTGTAGAGCCTTTTACATTGTTGAATGAAGGTATTTGGGAAAAATAAGTAGCTGGTTTTCCAAAACTGTGTCATCAAAACTCTGGTTTAGTTTCTATTACCAAGGATACATTTTCCAGCTACCAATCCTTCTTCTTCATTTCTAACTTTCAAGATTTTTTTTTTTTAAGTTTTGAGGCCATCTTCAAAAATTACTTACATTTGTACAAACTGTCATAAGATTATTTAAGAAAGATTATACAGAAAGAACAAAGTTCTTTTCATTTCATTAAGCGCCAAACCAAACCAAACCCAGTACCACCGAATCAATTCCAACTCATAACAACACTAAGACAGAGTAGAACTGCCCCCACAGGGTTTCTAAGGCTGTAAATCTTTGTGGAAGTAGACTGCCTCATCTTTATCCCACAGAGCAGCTGATGAGTTCTAATCACTGAACTTTTAGTTAGCAGCCCCATGCTTTACGTACTATGCCACCAGATCTCCTTATAATAGCATCAACAACAAACAAAAATATTAATCAATAACTGATTTGATTTCTCCAACTTTAGATGAGTAACTCAGATGACATAAATCAAGTAAAAGAAACCTTTCCATGAGTTCATGTAAGAATAGAATCAATGTTATCTCCTAATGAGTTGTAAAAGCAAAAAGTTTCTATTCAAGACTCTGAAAGGTACATGGTTCATCTACCAAGTCCTAGGAAGAAATAAATCATTTGCTAAGTAATCATGTCCCTTAATTTTTGTATCAAGTTAGTCCATAAGCAAGCTGCATTCCTGAACTGTATTGCTATAACTTCTCTCCTCAAAATGCCTGGACTTAGCCATAATTGAATTATGTTATTATTTTATATTGGGAGGGGGCCAGTATAAAAAAGTCGCATGGAAGATATTCCACAGCTTTTATAAAGCCACTATGGGAAATACTGATCTTTTTGATTTAATATTCCTTATATTAAAATACCATGACACATTTCTCATTTTCTAAGTGA